ACTAGTTCGTCATTAGCTGACAAGCCAAGGTGTTTTTATTAATATTCGGCTATACCGCTAAACTGGTGACCCCGTCGTGATCTAAACGCGTTGATAGTTTACGAATTAGTTTTTTTTTTTTACAAAACGCGGTCTAAAATTACATTAATTATACAGTGAGTTGTAAAAATCTCTGTGCTTAAATTATCACCGCTGGTGCATTGCGGAGCACCCAGGACGTTGTGCTGCATTAGTGATATTTGAGGGACACTAACATGTGCAAATCAAATTGTGGTAATTACGTAACTCACTAATATAATATCATTGAGTGCCGTGTTTTCGTTGTAATTAGCAAAAGAATATATTTTTTTTAACGCTTAAGTTTTTAGAATATCGATATAACTCTGTTCAAAAAAAAAAAAAAAAAAAAATCATACAATGATTAACGGTGATGAGAGTTTTACTGACACCAAACCTGTAGTGGTCGCATCGCCGTCGCTAAAGGCTCCTAGTTTCTGCCCCGAACGTGTCAATTTATGGTTCGCACAGCTAGAGGCACAGTTCCAGATCCACAACATCATCACCGAAATTTATAGGTTCAGTTATGCCGTGTCACTCATCGATACACGCTACGCCGTTGAGGTTGAAACACTTATTATCAAACCTCCCTCAAACAATCCCTACTCTGAGCTCAAAAAGGTTTTGACCAGCTGTTTTACGAAGTCCGAGGAGGCTAAACTTCGCCAACTACTTGATGGTGAACAGATAGGCGACAGAACACCATCAAAATTCCTGAGGCACCTGAAAGCACTCGCGCCTAATGTCGACGAAGCAGTGGTTAAAACAAAATGGTTATCCGGGTTGCCCGAGCAAACGCGCGCTCTTCTCGCCGTCCAGACGAACGCTTCACTAGAGGAGCAATCACGCATGGCCGACAAGTTGCATGAAATCGTACAAGGGCGTGTAGCAGCCATGCAGACACAACCGTCAACGATGCACTCAGCCATGGAGGAGAAAATTAACGCGCTAAGCCAGCAAATTGACGCACTCTCTAAGCAATTTAACCAGCACCGAGGAAGGTCAACTTCTCGCAACCACCATCGTGCCAAGAATCGCAGCCCTTCAGGTAAGCGCGTTAATAAACCTACTGGTATCTGCTGGTATCATACTTAATTCGGTACCAAAGCACTTAAATGCACCACTGGGTGCACGTTTAAGGGAAACGCCAGCTAGAATCACTAGAGGCGGATAGTGATTCTGCAACTTCCTCACGCCGTCTATTCGTTAAAGATCGAGTCACTAGAACACAGTATCTCGTGGACACTGGCTCGAATCTCTCCGTTTATCCGCGTGACCTATTAAATAAAGCGTCTTGTAACCCTATCGGTTACCAACTCTACGCAGCTAATGGAACGCTTATCCAGACGTATGGGCTTATCACATTAGTACCCGATCTCGGACTTAGACGTGACTTTACTTGGCGATTTATCGTCGCCGATGTCACTAAGCCAATCATCGGTGCCGACTTTCTTAGTCATTTTGACTTGTTAGTCGATTTGAAGCGTAAATGCCTGCGCGACGGGATTACCAACTTAACAAGCAAAATTATGCTGCTGAACACTAAATCAGCCGAATCCATCAAGGCCATCGGCGGCGATTCGGTCTACATTAGACTGATTCGTGAGTACGAAGATATCACTAAACCTGATACCAGTTATTCTAGGACCATAAAACACACGACGATGCATCACATCAAAACGACTGACGGTCCACCGGTGAAGTGCAAAGCCCGCCGTCTGTGCCCTCAAAAACTAAATATCGCGCAAGCAGAGTATAGGAAAATGATAAGTCTCGGAGTCTGTCAAACCTCTGATAGTGCCTGGTCTTCGCCACTGCACCTTGTGCAGAAGAAGTCTGGCAAATGGAGGCCATGTGGTGATTATCGTCCCTTAAATGCTCGAACGATACCGGATAACTACTCATTGCGTTATGTTGAAGACTTTGCTGCAAATCTGCATGGTAAGAAAATTTTCTCCGTTTTTGATTTAGTTCGCGCATTTCAACAAATTCTGGTAGCCCCCGAAGACGTACCAAAAACAGCAATTATTACGCCATTTGGACTATTTGAGTTTAGGTACATGACTTTCGGCATCAAGAATGCCGCTCAGACTTTCCAAAGATTTATCGACGAAATCACAAGAGACTTAGACTTTATTTTCCCATACATTGACGACCTTCTGGTCTCATCCAAAGGTGAACTCGAACATCTCGAGCATCTGAAATCTCTATTTCAACGTCTTAGAGACTACGGACTGGTTGCCAAAATGTCAAATCGCTCAACCAGAAGTAAGGTTTCTTGGCCATCTCATCAATAAAGATGGAATAAAAGCACTCCCGGACAAAGTCAAGGTCATCGTCAAGATGGACCCACCTAAAACTGTCAAGTCGTTACGAGGATTTCTCGGTACTGTAAACTTCTACAGGAAGTTCATAAAGAACGCTGCAGAAGTTTTATCTCCATTAAACAAAGTTCTTGAAGGTCCTAACGTTAAAGGATCTAATCCTGTCCACTGGACTCCAGATCTTCAACACGCCTTCGAGGCCGCCAAACAAGCTCTCGCCGATGCCACTATGTTAGTTCATCCTAACAACAACGCAGAGTGGGCTGTTTTTACCGATGTTTCTGAGTATGGGATCGGAGCCGTCCTCCAACAAAGAGTGAAAAATGAATGGCAACCTTTAAAATTTTTCAGCCGAAAATTGCCTCCTTCAATTCGAAAGCTTTCGACTTACGATCGCGAGTTGCACGCAATCTACGACGCTGTCAAGCACTTCCGCCACATTTTTGAAGGACGACACATTACGATTTTTACTGACCACAAACCGTTACAACACGCGTTCCAACAACGCACAGAACGCGTGTCGCCGTGGCAATTTCGCCGGCTTGACTTCATTGGTCAATTTACAACGGATATTCGCCACATATCGGGAAGCGACAACATAGTCGCTGATACCTTATCACGACTCGAAGCCATCGCATCACCCATCACGCCGCATGAGCTTGCTGAGGCTCAAAAAGTTGATAGCGAACTACAACAACTTTTGCGCAACAGTACACCTCTAAACCTAAAGATCATTCATCTCGACAACGGACCTGCTGTTTATTGTGACATCGCGACAGAATCAGTGCGCCCATATGTTCCGGCGCTGCTTAAAAGAAAGGTTTTTGATTCCCTGCATTCACTCGTACATCCTGGCGTTCGAGCATCGCAGAAATTGGTAGTAAAACGGTACGTTTGGCCGTCTATTAACAAAGACTGTCGCGAATGGGCAAGAACTTGTATCGGTTGTCAACGCAATAAAGTACAACGCACGTATCATCCCCAATCGCAAATTTTCAACCACCTTCCGAGCGATTCGAGAACATTCACATCGACCTCGTAACACTGCCAGTGTCGAAAGGCTTCAACCGTTGTCTCACCATAGTTGATCGGTTCACACGTTTCCCAGAGGCAACCGAAGTGGTAGCACGCGCCTTAATCCATCACTGGATTGCACGATACGGCGTACCTAGACGAATCACCTCGGATCAAGGCGGACAATTTGAATCAATATTATTCAGAACTCTAGCTGAGTTATTTGGCATAAAGCATTTACGTACGACATCTTTTCATCCGCAAGCGAATGGACTCGTGAAGCGTTTTCACCGACAATGAGTCGTGGTATGACGCACTACCAGCAGTTTTGTTAGGTTTACGAGCTGCCTGGAAAGAAGATATTGCTTCAACACCAGCTGAACTGGTCTACGGCGAGCCCATACGCCTACCAGGTGAACTCCTTACACCATCACAGAAACGAATCTCGCCGCAGAATTTGTTAAGTATCCTAAAACATCATTTTAATACGTTGGCACCGGCTGAAATGTCGCGCCACGGAAAAAAATCTGTCTTTCTTTACAGAAACCTTCAAACGTGCACACATGTCTTAGTCCGCAACGACCTTATAAGGCCGTCGTTCTCACCACCACACGAGGGACCGTATCCTGTAATCAGTCGACATGACAAGTATTTCATTATTGATTTTAAACGATCTCCAACGGCAATCTCAGTGGATAGGCTCAAGCCAGTGTATGAAGCGTGCAATGAGGAAATTTCCGGCATTAGAAAATCAGTCATACCTGAAGAACAACCCATAAACATGAAAATGTCTTAATTTAGTATCATTTATAACATTAAAAGTCAACTCATTTTTTTTTTATTAAGATTATTTTAATCATTTAAAAAAAACAAGGGGAGTACTGTGGCGATAGCCACAAATTAGCATAATAAACAATCGAGCACAATCGATAGAGTAATCAATTCACTAAATTCAACCTGCTCTCTTATTTACTTAACTTATGTTACAGTTAAATCACATCATGTATTTTGCCTAATCTCTTATATACTTAAATCTCGTTTTGCGTATCCATGTTACAGTTAAATCACGTCATGTATTTTGCCTAATCTCTTATTTACTTATGCCTATTTATTTACTTGGTATTTTTACCCATTGCCGTTATTAAGATCATACGATCGCAATGAGCTTTAATAATGTTTAGCAATAGTTGGAGTTAGCAGTAAGATTCTACCGTGCAAATAAACTAGTTCGTCATTAGCTGACAAGCCAAGGTGTTTTTATTAATATTC